TCCTGGAATATTTGAGACTCAAAATTCTTTCCTTGATCGCTGTGAATCTCTAAAGGTACTCTAAAACGACAGAAGACTTCATGAACTAGTTTATCTGCAACTGTTGAAGCTTCTTGATTTGGAATGGCGAAGACTTCTGGCCACTTAGTGAAGTAATCTATCACAACCATGAAATACTTGTTACCACTTTCACTTTCTGGAAACGGCCTCGCAACGTCGATGGCTATCCTCTCACATGGTGCACCAACATTGTACAATTTCAATGCGCCTCTACTACGAATTTGAGGTCCCTTTAGAGCCGCACAATTTGTACATTTGCGGCACCAGTCCTCGACATCGTCACGACAGTGGACCCAGTAAAACCGTTCTCGGATCTTCAGTAGAGTTCATTTAACTCCCAAGTGGCCTCCTGAACAACCACTATGGTACAGCTGTAGAACATCCGGTACTTTAGCCTTCGGGACAACCATTTGCAAATGACATCTGTCTCCCCGACCATTTTCCCATTTACGGCACAGGACTCCATCCTGAATCAGCCAGCTGTCCCATTGGGCCCAATAGCTTTTCGTGGTCGAACTCATTGCTGAGACGTCGCTCCACTTGGGCTTAGGAGCACTGGCCTTCATCCATTCCAGAATCGGCTTAATGTCCGAATCTTCCTGCTGTGCATGTTGTAGGTTGTTCTTCCACTCATTGCTGAGCTGGTCTGTCCTGAGTATTCTCACAGATACCACTTCCTTACCCTCTTGTCTAGTACAATGCTTACAATCTTCAGGGCAAGGTCTTCTTGACAATGCATCTGCACTGCTATGAGATTTCCCGCTGCGATGTTCGATCACAAAGTCGTATTCCTGCAGTAGTTTAATCCATCTCGCAACTTGTCCTTCCGAATTTTTGAACTGCAATAGCCATTTCAATGCAGCATGGTCAGTTCGTAAGGGGAATTTCCGCCCCAGAAGATATTTGCTAAAATGCTGCAAGGACTTTACCACAGCAAGCAATTCCTGTCTTGTGACATACTGTGTCCTTTCCGGCTTTGACAAGGACTTGCTGAAGTACGCTATCACAATCTCTTGATCACCATTCCGTTGAGACAACACACTGCCAAGTCCTATATCACTTGCGTCTGTGTCAACTATAAATTCCTTGCCCGCATCAGGGTACCCCAAAATAGGTGTTTTTCACAGACGGTTCTTGGGCTCCTGGAATGCAATATCGCAACTTTCATCCCAGCAAAAATGTCGCTTCTCCTCGGTTAGCTTGTGCAGAGGTTTGGCTATATCTGCAAAGTTCTTCACAAATCGCCGATAGTAAGAGCACAAATCCAAAAATGCTCTAACCTGTGTCTTGTCTTTTGGAACCAGCCACTTCTTGACAGCGGCAATTTTCTCTGGATCCGTGTGGATACCTTCTTCCGAAACTTCATACCCCAAAAAGCTAACTTGCCGTTTGAATAGTGAGCACTTCTTCGGACTCAACTTGAGGTTGGCACTCCGGATCTTCATGAGCACGCGTTCCAGGTTTTGAAGGTGTTCCTCAAACGTACGGTCTACGATGATGATGTCATCCAAGTAGACTAGACAGGCATCTCCAATTAGCCCGGTGAGTACAAGCTCCATCAACCTTACAAACGTTGCTGGAGCATTGCACAATCCAAACGGCATGACCTTAAATTGCCACAGACCCTTTCCTGTGTAGAATGCAGTTTTCTCCTTGTCCTTAGGGTCAATTTCAACCTGACAGTAGCCACTTTCCAGGTCCAGCGTAATAAACCACTTTACGCCTGTGAGCATGTCCAGCGTGTCATCAATTCTTGGCAAGGGATAGCTGTCCTTCTTCGTAACGTCGTTCAGGCGGCGGTAGTCAACACAAAACCGCATGCTGACGTCCTTCTTCTTTACTAGCACCACAGGTGAACACCATGGACCACCATTCACCATTCCCTCAATCATGGTAACCACTTCCTTTTCACGTGCTACAGGCAATCTTCTTGGCCGCCGACGAATAGGCAATTCTTCTCCTGTGTTTATTTTGTGTTGAACTAAGCCAGTCTTTCCTATGTCAGCTTCGTTTGACGAGACAACATTGGCGTACTTGAGTAACAACTTCTTTGCCTTGACCATTTCATTCGGGGAGAGAACGCTGCGACAGTCTTCTAAAAGTGTAGTCACTCTCGTTTGTCCATCCTTGCTGGGGGTCCTAGTCGATAGATATTGGCACCGACGCAACCAATCCACTTCCTCACTAGTGTCCAATGTGCCTTTTTCTATAATCTGTTCCTGATCACAAAGGTTCAGCACACGACTCCTGAGATGTCGGCGGTTCTGACCAAGGTTCGAGCCACTTTCCATGGACGGTCATTTTCTACCCTTTCCACGAGTACACAACGAAGAGTTTGCCCAGGATTCCGAGGAAGTCTAACCGGCACAATCGTTTCCGATCTCGGCGGAAGAACAATCTTCTTAAGGCTGTACACATTCTCGGGTAACGCCCCTTATACGAAAAGTCCCTCTTGTCCACATTTCAAAACACCTTGCTTAACGTCGATCTCACAACAATTCTTCCTCATAAAGTCGAGGCCCAGGATGCAGTCGTCCATTATATCGGCCATGATGACATTATGCAAGTAGATCATGTTGCCTAGCTTCAACTCCATCTCCTTCTCTCCACGGACGGGTATGCGCTGAGTGGTGGCTGTCACCAAATTAATGCGTTCTCGGTTGTATGCGGAGTCCCCAAGGAACTGACTTATGAGTTGGGAACTGACAACTATGCGAGAGGCTCCAGTGTCTATGGTCAGCTTACACGACGTTCCATTGACCTCGCCCTTGATGATTAGGCTGTTCCCATCACGGGTTTGTGAGATCGAAATCCTTGGGGCTCTTTTAACATCAGCCAGCACCCGCCAGTTTCATTGCTGCTGCTAGGCGGTGCTGTTAGTCGCACTACCCTCTCGAGATCGATCACCTTCCCTTTCTACAGTTCGCTTAGGGGAGCTGGATCGAAGATGGCCCCTTTCCCCACAGTTGTAGCACCTAGGGCTGTAGCCGTTATTGCGGTTCCGAACTGTAGCTGCTGCAACCTCCCTGACGTGATGGGAACGATGAACCTGCCGCACGGCTTCCACTTCCGGTGCATGGGTCAAGGCGTCCTTAAGCGTCTCGTGGTTCCCGAGCCTCACAGTAGCTCTGACTTCAAGGTCGCGGATGCCGTCGATGAATGTCTGCACCAGGTTCCCTACAATGAGCGCAGGTACAGACTGGTATGCTTTTCGAACCAGCTTCTCCACCTCAAGGGCCCACTGCTGCAGGTTTTCGTTACTGCGTTGCACGCGATCTTTGAACTGCGCACGAAAGACGTGTTCCAGGTGAGCGTCGCCATATCTCGCCTCCAATGCCTCAAGGAGCTGCTCGTAAGTCACTTCCTTACCGAAAGCTTCCAGAACACTTAAGGCCTGGTCGCGCAGGCCTAGGGTGAGAGCAGTCATGGCCTGACTTTTATTCCAGCCGTTCGCCTTCATGACAGTCTCGAATTGGATTTTGTAGGCCGACCAGAAAGAAGTCCCGTCGAACGGCGGCACTTTGAATCCACGTAGCGAAGGTGTGGTAGCTGCCACGGAAGCTGTAACTCCATCCCTAATTTTGAGGTCGTCCAGCGTTTTCTTCACGTTAACCATCACGTTGTCAATCCGATTCTTCACTTGGTCGATTCGGTTTCAGCTTCCGACAGGCGGTTGTTATGTTGAGAAACCCTATCCTTCACCTCCTTTATCTCTTTCCCGAAGGTAGCGTGAAGGTCCTTCCTGAGGAGCATCTGATCTTCCATACCGCGCTGCAGCTGCTCATCCAACCGACGGGTCTGTGCCTCCTGTCGGCGGGCCTGTTCCTCTTGTCGGCCGGCCTGTTCCTCCTGTCGGCCAGCCTGATCCTGCAGCATCATCATCAGAGCACCTAAGTCAGATGCTGCAGATGCAGGAGCTGCTGACGGGCCGGCCTCCGTGGTCAGCAGCTGGCCCTCCGACGTTTGCGGCGTTGCATTACCAAATCGTTTCTGGTCCGTCTCCAGCTGGAGTTGACTTCGGGTACGGATACCCTGTATGTCGTCCTTTGGTAAAATCGGCATGATTTGATCCCACTTCTGACAACATATATTGGTTCATTTTGTTCGATAACTTCTTACGATCTTGTAGGTAGTGACATAATCGTGTTGCTGTAGAAATCGTGGGATTTTTGATTTAAAAAAATGCGACAAGTAATTTTATTAGACATATTCAATACCAGAGATTTGAAGCAACATGGATTTAGTCATCGCATTTATAATGGAAATAAAAATAATATTCTTAATTATTTAGAACATGCGTAATAGTATATCGCACCATCGGTGGAACAAGGGCACAACTAACAAAAAATCTGAAAATGATTTAAGTATGCCAATGTGCTTTAAAAACATCCCTTTAACTGGTGGAACAAAGTCGCTCATTAAGTTCAGTCTCATGTCGCTAGAGCGCTATTGTGTCTTTGTCTTATTGGTGCGTTTTTTGTAAAATATTGGAGCGACGAAATCGCATTGGTCAGTTGCGTCGTCGCCCGCGCGTTGTGTAGTTGTGTGTTGGACCATCAAAGCCGTTAAGGTAAATATGCCCTTTTTTGTTTGAGGTTCGGGAAAGACAAAGTCACATTTGGTGTACTTATGCCTATTATATCGGCACATGTTTGGAAGAACAAAGTCGTTTAAGCAGTTGTGCCTTTGTATGTCCAACATGTGCACATTTCGTAGTCTTCAATACAAATCTGACTTTGTCATTCCAATTCTTGTAGTATTTAGGTACATATAATATATTTTTTTATTTACATTTATGATTTTTCATTCCAAATTGCTTATATATTTTTTTATTGTAGTGTATGATATTAATTAACCCTTAGTCAAGTTTATTATGATTATATTTTTGTATTATTTTTGAACTTTTCATTGAGATAATAATATAATTTTTTCAGAACATAATGGAATCACGAGGAAGAAAAATTTTAAGTATGGTTCTTGATGATCAAGCCAATAGGCATACCGAGTCTACTGAGGAGCCTCAGATTGCTGAGTATTTAAAATACACCTGTGTTAATGAAAATTATCACAATACGGCAATAACTACTCCAAACATTAATTCATCGACGGGTATGAAAATTCTATTATTTTTGCTGACCTAGATTATTTATATTAACTTTTACTTAAAATTTTAATCAGAAAAGATTTATATTGATATTTATTTTAAGATTCGTCGAAGAGAACAATGGTTGAAAAATGGATAGATAGTAATAACTTTGAAAATCAGGATCCTATGCTGTTAAACAGTGAGACTTCAGAAACAGTAAATACACCCATTATAACTGCATCGGATACAGATGATATTACGGTTGAGAAATGCACAGACAGCAATGACTATAAAATTCAGAAGCCTATGTTAGTGGATATTTCGGACGGAGTAAACCCACCCATTATAAATAAAACCTCAGGTATGAATGCAAAACAAATATTAATCTATTAGTATAATTATTTATATTAATTGATAAAGTACAAAGATGGTAATTAAATCAATTAAAAAGTAATATTGTTTTACGTGCACTAATTAAATTAATATTCCTGTTTTTAAGGTAATGAGGATTCCGATTCCTCAAATAATGGAGATTTTTCACCATCAGAAGGTTCAGAATATAAGCCTCCAAGTCGTGCGAGGGAGATTGAACGCAACACTAGATCCTCCCAACCTAGAAACTTGTCAAGTTCTTCTAGTTCCAGCAATAGCTCTTCTAGTTCCAGCACCAGGGCGCCTCAGCCTATTACGGTTGATTTGGAAAATGATGAAGGTAATATTGAAACAGAACCAACTTTCCGCACAAATGAGGATAATGTTGTCCTAGAATCGAATAGAAAACGGTCTAGAAAACGTCAAAGAAATATGAGTGAGTGGAAACAAGTTATATCGAAGCGTTTAAAGAACAGTGGCCTAGAGTATATAACAAAGAGAGGAAAAGTTGTGGCAGCAAAATCTATTCTTCCTCCTTGCACTAACTAATGCCGACTATCGTGTTCCACTACAGTTTCTTCTGAAAAGAGTAACATCATTTTTAAATCCTACTGGGAACTGGGAACACATCAAAGACAAAGAGATTTTCTAGCGTCCTGTGTCAAACAAATTCATCCTGCAACCCGAAGAGTCACAGTCACTGTTAATAGCACCTGTAAAGAACCAAGAAAACCAAACTCGAGCTTCTACTTTATAATAGATGGAAAAGAAGTTAGGGTTTGTCGGACATTTTTGCTAAATACATTGGTTATTGGTGAAAAAACTTTACGAAATGTAATTGACAGTGTATCTATTCATGCTTTGAGTGTGAGTTTTACTGATAAACGTGGAAAACACGGCAAACATTGTAAACTTACTGATGAAGAAATACAATCAGTTCATGACCACATAAATTCGATCCCACGAACGGAGAGTCATTACCTAAGGGCGAATACAACCAGAGAATACATAGATGGAAGTCTGACTATAGCTGAGCTCCATCGCAGTTATAAAAGACTCAGACAAGAAGCTGGTAGACCAGCCGTCAATTACGACGCTTACCATCGAATCTTCAACACTGATTTTAATTTAGGCTTATTTGCACCTCGTAAAGACCAGTGCGACGAATGCGAAGGCTACAAAAACGCTGTCGACAAAGAACCATTGATGGATAAGCATAAATTACACCTTGAGGAAAAAAGTCTGGCCCGATTGGAACTTGAAAAGGACATAGAACAAAGCAAACAGATAGATTCGAATAATATAGTAGCCATATTCGATCTACAGGCAGTCTTACCAAGTCCTATTGGCCAATCGTCAGCTTTCTTTTATAAGTCAAAGATTAACTGCTACAATTTCACGGTATGAGTTGCTATTTTTTAAATATTAACTTAACATTTATAAAATTATAACAAACGTCATTCTTGCACTGAATTAATTATTTATTTTTGTTTAAGGTTTCAAATATCAACGATGACACAACATTATGCTTTTTCTGGCATGAAGGTCTCGCAAAACGTGGAGCTAATGAGATAGGGACATGCATCTACAAGTTTCTGGAAGAACTTAGTCACAAACAACGTGATAAAGACATCATTTTATATTCTGATAATTGCTGTGGGCAGCAGAAGAATAAGTAAGTATCTTGCATCACAAGTTTATCTCTAATTACTTGCTTGTTTGTTACTTTGATCGTCACAATCACAATATTTTTTTCACATAAATGTAAACTTTAATTTCAGATTCGTTTTCGGAATGTATTATTATGCTGTTAATACATTGCCCATCAAATCAATTACTCAAAAATTCCTCATTATAGGACATACTCAGAATAAAGCTGACTCTGTTCATTCCGTCATTGAGAAGAACATTAAACGGGCAAAGAAAGCAGGTCCTATATACTCTCCAGTCGAATATATAAGTCTCATCAGAAACGCAAAAAAAAGCGGCGACAAATTTATAGTCAAAGAAATGAACTTCGATTTATTCTTTGATTTAAAGCTGTTAGCTGATGAAGTCAACTTGAATCTTAACAAAGATATTGAGAGAAATAATGTCAAATTATCCGAAATGAAAGCCATAAAGTTCACAAAAAGGTCAGAGACATACCAATTCAGAAACAGCTATAAATCAGTCGTCTGGACAAAAGCGAATGTCAAAATAGGCCGGACTGCTAATAGAAAACAACTGAAAGACATTACATTAAATGTGTTGTACACTGAAAAGTTGCCGATCCCCAATCGGAAAAAAGAAGACATTCGTCAACTGATTGCTTCAAACATTGTTCCAAAATTCTATGAACAATTTTATAATGGTTTATTTTAATGACACATTCCAAGAAAATGTTTCTTGTTAATTACGTAAAATAAGACACTGTAAGTAAGGATTAAGAAAATATTACTTAATTATACGACTTTTTCTAAATAGAGTATTGTTTTATTACATAAATCATCTAAAAAGAATGTGTTACTAAGGTCATAATTACAAAATTATTTAAATTTTGGTGCAAAAAGGGCAAAAGTGCACATCAAAAATATTATTTTTTCAATTATAGTACAAATAATAAATTATTTACTCCTGTAAAGTACCTACCTAAATTCGCAAAAGTGTAAAGCTTACTTCACTCAAAAAATATATATGACCTAAAATCAATTTAAGCAGACAAACTCGATATTATTCTACAAAAATCTTAGAATGTCTCTAGTGAAAAATTACAAAACATGCATTTGTGCCCTTGTTCCACCGATGGTGCGATATTATAAACTTAAATAGTAAAACCTCTAGAAAGATTTATTTTAAAGAACACAAGCAACAAAAGAAGATAATGATTAAAAGTTTTTAACCAGTTTTAAGTACTCAAGCAAATACTGGATTTTTAGGAATTTTAGTGTGTACTGAAAGTCTCAAACAGATAACTAATCTTGTGGTCTGGCATTATCATGATGAAAGACAACTACTTTTCTGATGAGCAATGACTTCCGTTGTTTTTTTATTTCTTGCTTGAGTCTCATTATTTGTTGGGAGTAGAGATCAGAATCGATGGTTTTACCAGGTGGTAAAAGCTCATGATAAACGATACGCTTCCAATCCCACCATACACACAGCATCATCTTATTGCGTCTTAATCCAGGTTTCGCTACAGTCTGTAAACAAAACACATATCAATACAGAAAAAAATCACGTTTCTTCCATGGGCTTCATACAAGAAACGTGATTTAGGGGGTCCTTTAATATTTTATTTTATTTTTATTATATGTTGTTATAGCAGCAATACAATTAGCCAATACACATTCTGTGAAAATTCCAAGTATCTATCTACCATATTACGGTTCATAAAATACAGCCTGCTGACAGACAGACGGAACGATAGTGGAAACTTAGGTCCCGTTGACACTCTTTAGGTACGGAACCCTAATAAACGGAAATAATGTTTTAATAATAAAAATAACAATTCATAAAACAACATATAAATATTAGGTCATTTGAGCAATACTACAAAAATAAACATTAAATAATATAGAATTAGGTTATATTATAATAAGTTAAATAAATTATATTATAAAATATAGTAACAATAAATTCACATAAAAATCTCAGCCACGGGGAACTTTATTTTTGTATACGCGGCAACACTGAATGGCGTCTTTCATATTTTGTAACTTATTTATGGCTCGTGTTATTTTATGTTGAAATTTCGAAATTGTATGATACTTACTGATAGTATGTGATCCCAGTGTCTTTCTTATTTCTTATAGTATTATTTTTACACAGTTTCACTACGCAAACTGGTATTTTACTTCGGATTATGATCAAAATTTAATAAAACATTCGATACGTCCACATCACATGTCGCCTGCAACGCGACTGGTTCGGGTACGCCGATTTTTTTTTTGGAGTTTATGGCCTGGTATCTAGACCTTTAGGCCAAGTCTTGAGTATTTTTATTCGGTTTATTATAATTTCCCAAATGTATAATTATCTTTCATAGTTCACTGCTTCACAATATGTTGATGCGTCACATTGTGCAGCCCTTGGGAGATTTTGACGGCAACTTGAGCCAGCAGACAGCTGACAGTTGGCGATGGTATCTAAAGGCGCCTATGCAGACAAACAGCTTATCTTGAGAATCCATCACCATCAGAGCACTTGTTTCACCGTTTCCACTAATAGTTCACATGCGTAGACAGTTAATACATAAAATCGCACCACTTTTACATATCAAAATCCACTTCAAACTATTATTTAAACTATAATACAGGAGCAGCAAACCGCCGCCGGTCAATTTCCCGCCAAAACCCGGTACGCCGATTTCGGCGTAGTATTTGTTGCCGCATTTTACAAGAGCGTCGGCGGTATTAGTCGGAGCGCGCGAAGGCCTATCAATAATCTTAGGTAAGTACCTATTAACAACTTTTGTTTATACAATAACACAATACCAGATCAGAGTGCATTTTGATAATACATAGTTATGTTTATCTATGATTTAAATCTCACACCTAATGTATAAAAATTTGAGTTGCAATAGCTATCACCTCATGATGTTTTGTTTTGTATAAACATTAGTTAAAATATAAGTCATACTTACACTAAAGTGATCTTCACAGAAGTATAGTCTAGTTTTTGTAGACAACGTCTTCGGGTCTCTTGCCAGTTTTACCTAAGTATTTCTCATATTTAAATCAGTTGACACTTGAATTCATAACTTCCCGGCGTTCTTATGCTATACTTTCCATTCAGGCACAACATACCAATGACAAAGATGATAACTATTATAAAATACCCAAAAATGTCTTTTTCCTTTGCATTTATATAAAAATTATAGTAGTTCATTATCATTTTTACTAATCACCTGCGGATCGTTCTTCCTGTATTGAAATAATATATATTTTATAGGATAGGGGTGACAAACGAGCACACAGTCCACCTGATGGTAAGTGGTTGCTGTGGCCCATAGACATCTACATCTATCTTCGATTAAGAATCAAAATGCAGATGCGTTGGCACCCGTGAAGACTAAGATGGAATGCCTCGTTTCCAGTAAAAAGCGTATCCGGTTCTCTACACTCGCCATACGAAACAAAGCAGTGTTAATCTGCTATTTTACGCTAATATTCTGTGAGAGCGTGGTCCTTGTCCGGTCGAGCCGACTCATTCATGCTACAACTACACCAATAATATACCTGCAGCTTGGCTCTACCACGTATAAATATTCTCTCACCAAACTTCTCAGATATGTCTCACCGGTCTATCCTAATAATAAAAACACGAAAAATGTTTTAAAAGTTTAATGTGCTTTTTTGGTTAATTAGTACAAATAAATTTAAAATTAATTATAGCTCATCTTTTGCAAACATTATATACAAATTTATTGATAATATTAAAAAGATTATTAAAAATATTAAGTACTTATGCACCATTGCGATTACTACATTTTTGATTGTTTGGTATGTTCTAATTGAAGAACGAGGGAACTGTACATTTGTTTGTTTTATCACATACATACGTACATATTAGATAGATTACTGTTTTCTTTGTAATCGAATAAAATGTTTGTACTTTATAGACAAAGACAAAGTTGTATGCAACGTTGCATTTTAAATTTTTTAGGTTGTTTGTAAATATATTACAAGCAACACTGAACATTATTATATGATGTGAACATGTTATATTAACTAGAGCATGCATGTAAACTAGCGTAGCAATAATAATCGTGGACGCTTCTTCGATAGGAACCAGCTAGGTAATATACTTATTTGATAAATTTTTTAATGTCATAAAATATTAATATAAAAGTAAAAAATAAGTAAGTCAGCTTAAAGCTTCTTATACTTATAAAGTAAGTTTTATTGGAAAAAATCTAAATTAGGTGACATCATTTATTCAGAAGGGACGAGATGTTAACCAACATCTATTCCGCATTTTTTTGTTGTTGTGTGTTAAGTTAATTTAAAAATAGTATGATTGTTTCTCCAAGCTTAAACTAATTCTAGAAATTTACGGGACTAAAGACAATTCTTAACATAAAATAATATGCATTTACGATATTATTTTTTAATTATAGAAATATTATAACTTCTTACTGCAATAACATGTGTGAGTAAGCGAACGATTATTTATTGAATAAGATACAATAGCAACCAAGTCAAATTATTAATTAATAGCACGAGATTGTGATTAGTCCCGAAATTGACATAATATCACAAATAAACGCATGATTTATTAATCGAGGTCTTCAATTAGAGAATCTAATTCCTTTTGCAGTGTTTGGGACTCCTCCCTCTGTTTGAGTACATCATCTTTCAAACGGTCTACGTTGGCCATGAGCAGAGTATTGCCCTTCTTCAAAGCATTTACTCTTGTCTCGTGTCTTTTAACGCGCTGTACGAGATTGTCCTTCTTCTTTGGTAATGGAGCATCCTGCAAATTTTGATTATGTTGAAATATTAATAACAAACACATTTTAAAGGCAAAGAGAGGATATAACTTTCGAAATAGCGGTCCTTGTCGGATTCGACATTCATGATTCTCGGATCGATCTTTCGGAATAATCATAATCTGCTAACTGTGCAGAAAATAACAGAGTGCTAATAGAGGCACTATTTTATCCTTGTAAGTTACTAATAACTTCTGCTTATGTAATATGTTCAGAGGACAATTTGTAGTGTCAGAAACGAGGAGACGTATGTATGGAAACTAGACTTCTATAAAACCGTTAAATATTAGTTATTAAACGGATCATTTATATTGTAATAACAATTATTATGTGGTAATCACCACACACGGCAGGTGGAATAGCGATTGGAATAGCGATAAAATGCCGCCTAGGCTAACAGCATTAATATAAAAAAATAGATGGTAGAACTCCTTCTCTGTTTTAGACAGAAAAGGAGTTCTACCATCCGCTTGGGTAACCCTCGTTCTTATTTCTTCCGTAAAATAGCAGTACCTGCATTGCTAGGTTCCTGGTCTAAAGGGTATAGAGAGCCAGTATAATTAGGGTTGCCACCTTTTTTGAACTAATATAGTATTTCCTAAAAAAGATGCAAAAATAAAGTACTTTTGAGAAATTCAGGAAAAAAAGTACACGTTAATTTTTAATCATTATGTATTTTTCCATAAACATGTATATCTGTTATTGCTCTTTGCTTTGGTGTTTAAAATAATTATAGAAATCTGAGAAATTTAGATACATATTAAAATAAATTAACAATTCATTTTTTCTTCTTTTTTTGCTTTTTTTTTGGGAGGCGTGCAAGAACCATCATCACTTTCAGAAACAACATCCACATCAATTAAAATCAGAAAATAAACACTTATATGTTAAA